AAGTCTTGTCTCGGTTCATACGTTTATTCCGGGACAAATTTTACCCTCTGTCCCGTTATTTTTTTCCCGGAATTTTCTCGTCTCGTTTCGTCTGTCCCGGTTCATTTCGAGAAAATTATTTCGAGACGCAGGAGTCTAGCTGACCGCAACATGTTCAATGTTGATGAAGTTGAAAAAAGTTTCGAAATATCTGCGTGATGAACAGAATATTGACAATATATTTATCATGTCTTTAGTTTAATTTACCCATGTGAAATTTAAAAATTCACGAAAAAGATGCATATGCAAAAAATACAGATTATGTTTCGAATAAACAATGACATGAATATAAATTGAACACGCACCATAAGAAACAAAATTGGACGCCAAAAATTACATTTTTTAGAATATCCTAATATATCAATTTGTGTTCTATATATTTGTCTCATATATGTGGTTTTGAAAAATATTATATGTTAATTTTATTAAAATTATGGGAAAAGTAATCAAAAATCTTATAATTGTTTGAAGAGGATGTGACGTCTTCACGTCACATGACATCTTTATCTATATCACTTTATTACTAATAGAATTTTTCAGTATTTAACTATTAATTATAAAGTATTAACTTGCTCTGCGAGAGACAGGACCCTACCTTCAGCGTTACAAAGCCTAGGGTCTAATATGCATGTTATTTATGAGGTCTGATATGCATGTCTCTTCAAATACAAATCCCAAAAGCAAGAAATATATAATTTGTAAGTGCAAAGTGTTACCGCTCGCACGTACTAGCCGTTTACGTAAGTGCAGCTGTTGAGCAGGGATCCTACAAAATGCGTACCTGTAGGATGCGTATCCTTCTTATATTCTTCGCTGCGGCGTAAACCGTAGGATGCATGTCCTTCTTATATAGTTTGCTTAAGTTGATTTGTCGGTACCGGATGATGACAATCGTCTAAATTTGTATGAACAGGAATAATACAGCAATTTTTAAACAAAACGGCATCTTGAATGTTACGTCAGTCATGAATGTTACGTCAGTCATGAATGTAACGGCATTCACGATGACTGTTATGCCGCCACAATAGCCACACTCAGAGAAACTTCTAAGGCTTTGTACAACATAAAGATGCAGTTTTTACCCTTTTTCGGGTCATCCTGACCTAGTTTAGCCCGACAAGAGGGCGTATCGGCGCAATGTGCAAGAAGTGTGTCATGCTTTTGCAGCGGATCTCGCTACATAAAACTAATATTATGTATATCATATCTCGCTACCTGGAACTAATTTCATGTTCACAATATTAATATTAATACTTACCATATTAAGTTTATCACATTAAATAAATATAATATCATCGACTGAACTGAGCTTTCTCCGAACTATTCTTATGATGACATTATATTTATTTAATGTGATAAACTTAATATGGTAAGTATAAATAATATGGTGAACATAAAATTAGTTATAGGTAGCGAGATATGATATACATAATATTGGTTTTATGTAGCGAGATCCGCTACACTTTGAATAGAAGCTTGCCCACTCATTTTTCAAATGAAAATAAGTGCAATCACGTCATCTGTGTATTGTTATGCAATTGAAGGTTTGAATATCCGGTGTAATTATGAAATACGGTACGAATATATAACTTCATATGAATCATGCACTAGGAAACATACGGTCAAATTGTTCTAGCAATGACAAACATTCTGTGTCTTATTTTAAATAGTGACTTTCTTCAATTAGTGACAGTAGAGTAACAATTCTTTTTCCGTGCTGAACTGAGTCAAGATGACCCACGCAAGGGCAAAAAATGCATCGCTAGCAAGACGAAGTCTTCTGATTTTTTTTTTTTTTTTGCGTGGAAGAAATCCATGCAGGTTGGCATATTTCCCCCTTGGGTAAATCGTGATAATCAAATATCGAAACTGTAAAATATCTTTGAAATAAAAGCAGGATCTTGAGCGTGAATGATGCGACAGGGAGAGTTCATCAATTCATGCGGTGCGTCAGGTATGTCGAGTGGTGAATTGAGGAACTTTATTCGACAAATTTAAGTTAAGAAATATCCATAGAAAAATAAACGATAAATCGGTAAGACTGAGAAGTAATTTTAGATAATAATTCTAATATAATTTGAGATAATGATAATGAAACCGATAACCAGCTTGAGAACTGCACTGAATCGCTGAACTCATAGACTAATTCTCGAGGAACATACACAATTCAAAATAACTGAATATTTATCATAATAACTGAAATGATTATTTTTTATAAATAACTGATATAACGTCTAACTCACACTAAACCAATATGTATAAGGGGAAACCACGCAATTCGTTTCACGAACCGTGTAGAAGATGTTTTTTTTTTCAGGGTACTGATATATATGAGAACTCAATTTTTAGTGTGAACGTATGAGAGTTTAACAGAAGCAAGCAAATCCTGCATTGCAACTAGACAACTTTGTGTACTTTAAACAACTTCGAGCACTTTAGATAACTTTGTGTACTTTAGACAATAGTGAAACTCTCGAGTAGTGGTATAGCGATGACAGTGTTGATTAGGCCGCTAGACCTGTAGCCGATTGCAAACATCGCAGAACATTCACAGCTTGTTACGGGTCTCGAACACGCAACTCACATTTTAAATTCCATATTCACTAGTTAAGTTCTCAAATTTCAAGGAATAGTATTGTCGTTTGCGTACACATAAAACGAGCATATCTGGACGCTAAAAGATTTCAGCCCAACAATGCTCAGACTTTTTTAAACTATTGAAGAAATCATCTAAAGTTCTCGACTCAATCTATACTTATCATTTTCATCTAATTAGCTTTTATATTTAAAGTTGGAAGGACTCGAAATATGAAATTTTTCGATCACCAATTTATTCGCCAATACATAGAAGCTGAGAAATAAGAAGCAGCACCAGCATCTGAGCTAGACAAAATTAGGACAGGTTAACAGCAGCAGAAACGTGACTCGTAAAAGAGGTTGCTTCAGAAGAACCGACTCATAAAAACAAAGTTTATACATAATTTACATTCAAGTATCCATTTCATAACGCGCCTACAGAAGTCAACCTTGTTAGGTTGAAATGTTTTTTTCTTAAATGAATAAGCAATTATCGACGAATCAATGAGCCAAGATAAACTAAGACACGAATACAAAATTCTATTCAAAATGAAAAGTTCCTGAAATTTTATGGACATATAGTTCATCCGAACATAATCTATGAATCATCTCGCACAATATACCCTAAAATAAACACCAACAAAAGCTTTCAGGATCACAACCATGACATATTTCTTGAAATACAAAATTTGCTAATATTACGTAGCGAGTCTCATATATACGACCTGAGGACAAAGCTGGCAAAACACGCACGACAAAAATGCGTGGCTATTTAAACAGGTCATTTTCATGGGGCTACGGGAACTTGAACGAGAGACAGAGAAGTGAAGTGCTGAGTATCTTGACTACACAACTGAACCTTAACCTAGACTTGGCTTCATGCACTGAGGCAGAGCGACCAATACGTAGGAGATGAGGACGACAAGTCAAACAGGTCTAATAGCGGTACTGAACTAATTTCCACGAAACGTGTTTACGAAACAACACTTTTTACTTAACACCGTAGGAACATGAAAGGAGTTAAAGATTTGTTTATATACTTGAGGAAGCGTATGCGAGTTTAAACGATAATCCAGTCAAAATTCCCCAATTAAAGTACTTACTATCAACACGTAAGCCTAATAAAAATGAAGAAATCTACATCAGATCACTAGCAAGTTAAGATTTGAAACAACGATTTCTACATAATACCAAAATTCCTCTCAAACAATATACAAAAGCTACATCACAATAACTATAAGGCGATGATTGTAAAAGATCAACATTTAAAAAAAAATGTAGAGTAAGTTTGGGCACCAAAGGTTCAAAGACATTTTCAGCTAAGTTTCAATAGGTCAGGAAAAATACTATAATTCTAGTGGAAATATTCTCCTGCAATCATCATGCTGCAATCCACAAAAAACATTTACAATCTAATCACTAACGTTCAAATATGCAAAAGCAACAACTGATTTTCTTGGGCAGATGCATAATCCCTTACGAATATTCACCATCAAGTCTCCGTCAACACCTTTTCGAATTCAGTGCATAACCGTCACCAAGCATCAGGTCTGGTTAATCCAAGCTGTTAGCATTTGAAGGTCTGGTTACTGCAAGTATAGGCAGCAGACCCAAAGTTGTGTGTCTGATACATTCAGCACAATCGCGAGATAATCTTCGACTCGAATGAGCATATTCAAATACAACAATTTGAAAATAGGAACAGCTAAGGAACGTATCTACCATTTATTTCAAACAGAATGTTTTTAAATTTATCCCAGGACTGAGTAGTCCGAGCATTCAGGCACAAGGGTTGACAAAGGATGGTTGGTATGATATCTAGAGCGCCGTGATATATTGGTCAAGTGCAGGCTTCTTCATCACGGCAGGGTTATTTATTTATTGTTTATTTTATTTGGTTAATTTATAAGTAGGATGATTGGCGTTTTCCGAAATAATTTCTAAGGCTATTGAGATATTACTGAGTCTCTCGGCGTCAGCTTGGACAGAAAGTGCTACTTCACTCGTGGCTGAGCAGGATTTTCTTAGCATTTCTTCGATTTCCCTCCCTTGTTTTCCTTCCTGCAAACCTGTGAGAAAGCCATAGATCAATGAACATATGAGGACCAAGGCCAAAAAGATGCAATGGTATAGCAAAAAGTTACAAACCACACAACAATTAATCCAGGCATTCACAATGAAGTGAACCGTCATCCAGTGCTGCGTAATTATATTGATTTGCGAATGTTATAAAAATTTACAAATTTAAGGCTTGATATTAGCCTCATGAGATAATAACAAACGTATCACATTCAGTCATTTGGAGTATTTACACACTTAATAACACCACAATATCCAGGTTTTCTGAACCACAATTCCATTAATACAGGATACGTATTTCACAGTGACAGAGAGGTAAAGCTAGTTTTTGTTAATTTAAATGTAAAAAAAAACAGTTTAAAGAAACTGGTCAAAAGGAAAAAAAATTGAACGATTTCAATAGAATTTTAAAAAATAAAATATTAAAACCTGCAATGTGTTACTGATGCAGTGACCCTACAAGAAGAAATGTAATTCCTTCTATTTCTAAATGTGTAATTTTCTACAACAGATTAGGTGCACAGGTCTCATAAGAATGAAAACAATAATAACGCACGTGTTGACAGTAATAATAATGCAATAATTGAGATGAAAAATAACCAAATAGTTTCTTAGGACATGCATAGACTTTAATTGGAAGCAACAAATTAAAGCTTAGCTGATTTTGACTTGATACTGGAAATTGATAAAATTACCTGATCCAGTGAATGCAATGGGCAAAGAGAGAGGCAAGTCCACATGTTGCTCCTGCTGTATCAAGTAAAATGAAAGACAGTTTAGGTAATACACATAGAATTGCCAACATGTACATTTCTAGAATTGCCCAACAAATTGGGCTACTATAGACATAATTAGGTGTCCATGTATTTCTGTATTGGCTATAGTAAGTTGCTAGATGGTTTGTGAATGACTACATATTTCAGTATTTCAGATATTCTTACAATAAACCTACACAAGTATGTTATACCTACTGAACAAATTCAACACTAAGAGAAAAAAAAAGCCAATTCTTTCATAATTTAGAAACCTCAAAAAAATCTGGATAAAAAACTACTCTAGGTAGGTATAAAAAATTATCATCCAAAGTAAGTTTAACAAAAAGTGCAAATACCTAGAGCAAAAACTTGTGGGTTTTATGATAATGATGAACAAGTATCATACTTCATGAATATAAAAAAAAATTTAAGTGATAAAAAATATAAAAAATAGCACTTATAAAGCATAATTTGTCAAACCATTGCCAAAGATGAGTGACGTGTTGTGCTCCCAAGTATCTTGGACAGCTTGGATGGTGCTGAACTGCGTTGTCTGGTCGTGGTTATGAGGACCGCTTCGTAAAGTGCAGCAGCTAGAATAAGAAAAACCCAATGTCACATATCAAAGAACAGTAATTGTGTAACAAACCTGAAATACCAGTAGAGATTTCTTAAAAAAATATAATAATGTATGGGCATAGATGTAGCATTTCCTACCTTCTTCTAGTTCATCATCAATAGGAGAAAGGAATGTCACAGACTCAGTGAGGCAGTTCTGAGTTTCTGATGATTGTCCAGTTTCCTTCGAGCCCACTTCACAACAGTCAGATACTGGCAAGTTTGAATCTTTATTCTGATGATTTAGTTCACTGTATGTTTGAAGAACAGTTTCAAAATTCTTGCCAAAAACCTGGAAAAATTAAACCACCTGATTATACATACATTCTTCAAGAGAAAACATTAACAAGTAACAACTAAACATGATATTGATATTTTGTGAAGCATAATTGCAATTTGCTTGACTTTATAGAGGGATCTTACATTGCATCATGAAATAAGCCCAAATGTTTAACAAGATCAAAAAAATTTGAGATAAATGGAATGGTTTAGTTAAATAAGTGCAGTGAATCATGAATGATTTATATACCTACTATCAAATGGGATAATAAGGGACAGTTTGAACATTTTTTGTTAATAACTTCTTACCATGAAACATTTCATAAACGAGTTCAAGCTAATTTTAAAGATCTCAGCAAGGTCTATCATATGGCATCTCGAAAGAAATTTCATATGCCATTTGTAAGATGCCAGATGCAAAATAAAAGCGTCCCAAATTACCGCTTAGTGTCCGGGATTACCCAGAGTAATCCAAGACACTTGAAATATAACTTTATTTTAAAATGTTTGAAGCATACTGAGTGTACTCACACATTACTAACAGTACCTACTCTGAAGTCCTCCTCAACCTTCCTAGATGATGTAGAATAAATGAAATTTTCTGTGACTTTTTGGTATTTCCTACATTACTGCATTATTAACATATTACCATATCCATGGACATGCCATTGAGTATTGACAACAACCTTGTCCAATGCAAGCTTCATATCAGCAGCTGTATAGCATTTCTTCTGTATCTGCAAGCTTACAGGACAGCTTGTAATTTTGCACCATTTTAATTGGGTCAAGTGAATTTACTATGAAAAAAAAAATTGTAAAAAACGTACCTGAGCCAGGAAGGAATATTTTAGTGATGACCATCATATTTTTTGGAGAAATATATCACAGTTTAGGTTAATTACTATTCATTCTAGGTTGTCTGGTGCACAATTTTATCTACGACATTCTATGCACAATTTTGTGATGACCGATGATGCATTAATTTCTTGTTGAGTAAAGTTTTTTCACTGAGCAAGACAAATGTAATCAAAATTCTTTGTTGTTAATTATTTTTTTTATTAACTGGATCCTTTGCTAACTGAGGTTCTACTGTTAATGCATTTTTGGGGTGTCCCTTATTACCCAGGGGGGTTGTCCCTTACTGCCCTGTCATGCCAAAATGGCCACCATTCTTTTTTAATGAGCTACACAAATTCCATCTATCACATTTTTAAGGGGGAGGTATACCCTCCAGAAAAACTTTTTTGTTTATGGACGGATCACTCTGAAACTTGGTACACTTATGTAAAACAGAATTCTAAGACATTTTTGTTCGTGTAATTTTTTCGAAAAAATTGATAGAAAACGTGAAATTCATAGAAAACGTTTAAAGAACTCTCTCACCCGCTTCCCTTTAAAGAGACGTCATGAACGTAAATATTGGCGTACAGCGATGGCAGTGGTACCATTGGAAAGAGCAGAATTTCAGCTTTAATATGAGATTAAAACCCAGAAATGCCAAATCTGAAAATTTTAGGGTATACCTCCCCCTTAAGGGGAGAATCTGGGTCAAAATCAACAATTTTGGCTTTTCTAGTTTTTAGTCTCATCTTATAGCTGACGTTCTGACCTATCCAACGATACCAAAACCATCTCTGAACATTGATTTATGCATTCACGACAGATTGAGAAAGGGTTAGGGGTGGTGGAGTTCTTAAACATCTAAGTTGAGCGTCTGGCAACAATTTTATCTTGACTATTTACAGAGATCTCTTTGAAACTTGGTGCACATATGTTAAACAGAAATACAATAATGTGAATACATGTGAATATAAAAAAAATTAAAGGAAATGTGAAATTTTGAGAAAACAGCCAAAAAAGGGGGTACTGTAGGAAATTTCAAGCTACAACATCCAGACGCATACGTATCATTCTATGCGTAAGGACCATATCTATTGATTTGTTGTAGCTTTTTTTGAAATTTGAATTTTTGTTATTGGGGGAGCATTTTTCATGAATTTAAAAAAAAAAATTCTATTTCCCATTCCTTTTTTCTGAAATATTTTTAAAACTATAACAAAATTGATTAGAAATTCAAAACAAAATCTAGATCTTTTATTTGAAAATCGAATGGTATGTCTCTCATCACTGTAGCTTCAAAACTGTAGGAGGAGATAGTTTTCCAGTGACAATAAGTGTGATTGTTCAGTAGAGCCGACAAAATCCCGGCGCCTCAACATAGGCATTCAAGGCTGCAAGGAGGCAAAACAAGACAATACTGGAGCTCAATTACTGTCAAGGATGGTGAGAATGACAGCGCGAGAACCATCCCACACAATTGCAGCAGGGTTACTGGAGTGGAGTGTGTGAAGATTAGCTATTTAAAGTGCACTGCAGCAATTATTCCCTATCTTAAATGTTAAAGAACTCCACCATCCCTAACCCTTTCGTGATCTGTTGTGAACGCATAAATCAACGTAAGATTTATTTTGAAATACTTACGCACAAATCAACGTACATATTTCAATGAGATGATTTTGGTACCGTTGGATAGGTTAGAATGTCAGCTCCAAGAGAGGACTAAAAACCAGAAAAGCCAAAATCGAACATTTTTGGCCAGGCGCTCCCTTTAGTCATGCTCTACGGAACATTCACACTTATTGTCACTGCAAACCTATCTCCTCCCATAGTTTTTAAGCTACAGCAATGATAGATATACCATACAATTTGCCAATAAAAGATCTAGAGATTGATTGTAGCTTTTTCCAATTTTGTTATAGGGGCGCCACCCCCCAATGGGAGAACTTTTACCACCTAATGGCAGCCGTGATGGGGTAACATTGACCGGCTTGGAAATGAAGTTAAGGGGACCGCCCTAGCATACGAAAACTTCTACAGTTATTATCCAATTGTCATGAAACTTCACATACATACGTAAAATGTAAAAAAAAAAACATTTTGCTCCTATGAATTTTTCGAAAAAATTGATAGAAAACGTGAAATTCATAGAAAACGGCTAAAAGGGGTACTTTAGAAATTCTATCTCCTCCCACAAATATCATCCTACAACATCGAGACACGTATCAATCGATTCGTAAAGACCATATCTATTGACTCTAACATCACTTTTTTCATTTTCCATCTAGTTTTTTTTTATTGCGTTTTTTTCTATTTTTCCCATTTTTTTCTCATTTTTCACCCTTCCCCCACCCTTCTCCCCCATATAAAAAACAAACCAGACCGAAATTCAAAAAAGTGATGTTAGAGTCAATAGGCCTGGTCTTTACAAATCGAATGGTATATGTCTCATTGCTGTAGCTTGAAAACTGTAGGAGGAGATAGATTTGCCGTGAGAGCAGTATGAGGTTTTCAGTGCGGCCAAAAGACTGCCCGCGCGGCACTTAAATAGACATAAAAGAGTCGCAATGCAGCCAAGATACCGTAACTTAGCCTTAAACCATTCAAGAAGGTATGGAGCAACTGGCTGCACACCTTTCACGTTGAGGACCTGTCACAAAGTCATTTTTCGACGTACAGGGACGATACTTATACCGTTCGATGCGCAAGAAAACAACCTTTAAGATGAGATAAGAAACAGAAAAACTCAAAATTTTCAAATTTTAGCTAGGGCGGTCCCCTTAAAATTACCATAGGTACCTATATAACATATTTTATGTTTGATACACTTATTAATGTGTTTTTCTTTATGTTTCAGACTATACAGAGTCTTATATATGGTAATTTTAACTTAATTTCCAAACCGGTCAATGTTGCCCCGTTACGGCTGCCATTAGGTGGTCACATTTTGCCCATTGGGGGGTGGCTCCCTCCATTTGAAAACTATGACACTTTCATAAAATTTGTCTTTTGCATATGTAACTAGAAGAGCTCTATTACAATGCACCACAACCTGGAGTTATTTAGAGTTATTTTACCAAAAAAATAAAATTGATTTTACAACCCGGTCAAAGAAACCCCAAGAGCTGGGGTAACAAAGACCATCACTTTTTTTGAAATTACATCAAAACTATAAGAGACAGGAGCCAGCAATTTATGGTGAGTAAAGCTAGAGTAAAGACCTGTATTTTGCATGTTTCAATTAAAGTTTAACTTATCTAGTAAAAAATGGCATCATTTTGAAGAAAAAAAGTGGTCAAAGTTACCCCATTTTACGGGTAAAATGGGGTTACTTACTTACTTTGACCGGCGGGGTAACTTTGACCACTTTTCGCTTTTTTAACAATAACCCCCAAAACTCAAAAACGATTTGACATAGAAAAATTTTGTCAATGGCCATCAAAGACCTAATACTGAGGCGACGTAACACAATAGAAAGATTTAAAAAGGTTGCATATCTAATAGGTTAAAAAGTTAAAAATGTGACCCACGAAAAAGAGCTATTATTTAAAGCCTGTCAGAGTACCCCTTCCAATTTTTTTATTTTTTGGTAGAATAACTGCAGGTTTTGATGCATTGTATTAGAACTCTTCTAGTTACATATGCAAAAGACAAATTTTAGAAAAGTGTCATAGTTTGCAAATGGGGGGCAGCTGCAAATGGGGGGCGCTGCCCCCCAATGGGGTAACTTTGACCACCCAATGGCAGCCGTAACGGGGTAACATTGACCAGCTTGGAAATCAAGTTAAAATTACCATAGGTACCTATATAACATATTTTAAGTTTGATACACCTATTAATGTTTTTTTCTTTATGTTTCAGACTCCACAGAGTCTTATATATGGTAATTTCAACTTAATTTCCAAACCGGTCAATGTTACCCCATCACGGCTACCATTAGATGGTCACATTTTGCCCATTTGAGGGCGGCGCCCCCCATTTGCAAACTATGACACTTTCCTAAAATTTGTCTTTTGCATATGTAACTAGAAGAGCTCTATTACAATGCACCACAACCTGGAGTTATTTAGAGTTATTTTACCAAAAAATAAAATTGATTTTACCACCCAGTCAAAGAAACCCCAAGAGCTGGGGTAACAAAGACCATCACTTTTTTTGAAATTACATCAAAACTATGAGAGGCAGGAGCCAGCAATTTATGGTGAGTAAAGCTAGACTGCTAGAGTATAGACCTGTATTTTGCATGCTTCAATTTAAGTTTAACTTAGCTATCTAGTAAAAAAATGGCATCACTTTGAAAAAAAAAAGTGGTCAAAGTTACCCCATTTTACGGTATGTGTCATGTTAAATTACTATATATTATATGTAGCAAAAACAAGCTTAATTGCCAAGCCCAACCTACGAGTCCTATTTTACTTCTTGTCACGAAATTCCCACAGAGTGCTGATAATTGTCCTGGTTTTTATTGCAAACCGGGATAAAGCTTCTTGTCTTGTCTTGATTGGAAAAAAGTTTCAAATGCAGGAGTCTACTTCCTGCCAATGCCTGGTATTAGCATTGATATTTTCAAACTAGGACTTACCTTCATAAAATCTGAGAGAAATGCTATTCTGTCCTTATCACTAAAATCAGTTTGTGAACAGAGTAGCTCTGACACTTTCTTGTAGACCAATTTCTGTGTTCTGTCAAGAGACATATCTATATTGAAAAAAATAGTGCACTTATTGAGAAAATATAGCTAGTTCACAATTTCATAACAAGATAATGAAGATACTGATACATGAATGGAACTTATTATATATATTTATTTTTCAGAACAGGACTGCCAGTGCCTGCAAGAAAATGTATAAAAACATGAAAATACCTATTAAAGAAAATAATTAAATATCTTCCAAAAATGATCAATGATTTGTATGATCATTCACTTGCAGTCATAGTGGCAAAGCAGAGAGTTTTTTAGACTCTACCTCAAGTTCATTTTTGAGTCCTATAAGTAGACCAGTAAAGTATCATGGATACCATCATACCAGCATTATCATACATAAGAAATTGATCTAAATCTTGAGAAAATTAGGAAATTAAAAATGAACCGATTCTAAAAAGTCTCTGGTTTGTCACTATGCTTGCAGTAAATCTCAGGATTCTCAGCTCAAGAGTCAAGTAAAATTGTAGCATGGATTAGGTATGTTTTTCCACAAAAAACATAGCACTATAGGCTAATTAGCAAAAATTACTTCTCATTTTGAATAATAGTAAATTTGAAGTTTTGAACTAAATATGCTTGTGAAGTTGAGAAAAATGGATACTATATTAGTTTATATATTTGTCCACAAAATGTCTACCTATTAGGCTATTACTATTACTTCATTGAATTAGAGTGCCTGAAATACATTTTATAGCCCTGAAATACATTTTATATCAGTCTAACATAGAATAAAGGAATTGACCTTCAAGAAGTTAACAGGTTGAAATTATAACGTACTCAAAAACATCTGTTTGACTGTTTGGTTCCTGTATTCAAACTTAGCTCCCACACAGCAGCAAAGCTGAGCAAGCTCTACTTATTCTAACTCTAATATAGAGATTGACGATGGCTAATACAGAGACATCTAACGGATATTTGAGACAAAAATTCATGACTTCATTTTATTGAGTAAACGAGAATAACCAACAAAATCGCTCAGAACATTGTGACTGCTATGAAGGAAAAAATATTCTTCAACGCGTAATGATGATGTATTTATTAAAAACAACTAGGTTAGCCGTTAGAGGGAAGGTAGCGCAGCCGTGGGTAACAAAGATGACTTGTAAACAGACCCTGGGCCCAACGCCAACCATCAGCATGCAATATCTACACATAGCCTCTGATCAATGAGCTGTGGGTAACTCCGGCTAACAGTAAATCCGTTTTACACAACACAGCCACATCTTCACAGCGCCGGAGCACAACTGGCCGGAGCGCAACAGACCCTACCGCAACAGAGGCGCAGGTTAGGTTAGGTTACGTTACGAGTAGCTGTTGCGGTAGGGCCTGTTGCGCTCCGGCCACTTGTGCTCCGGCCTGTATGCGCTACGGCCTGTGACTGAACGGCGCTGTTGTGGTGGGCGCTTTGTGTCGAAAGCCGTGAAGATGCCCGGCTGCGTTACGCTCGGGAAGGTATATGAATCGCACTGTGGACTTGGGCTATGCTGACCTGTAGCTATCCTTCAAGAGGGAAAAGTGAAAACTTCCAATCGTAATAACTTTTAATTTTCAGCAGGCATACAGTAGGCATTGAATATTCACGTCTATTTGGGCTGTCTTAACAAAATAGACTACCTTAGTTCTGTTGAAGTCGTAATTCATATACGTATTCGTGTTTTCCGTGAGGCTACAATATTTTTACGGGCAGTCCGGCCGCTTCGGCGCGGGGTTTTGCGTGAAAATATCTATTTCTGAGCGAGCATAATTGATAAAATGTTAAAATGAATATTCTATAATGTCAAATTTTGTATAACAATCTACAAATGTTGATCTAATATCATTTAAAAGTAACCCGTAAGCGAACTATGCATCATCAAAGCAAGTCTAACATCAAATATTGCTCGGGATCGGGAAACCTTTACACGCGAACTATATAGGCCAGATATGGAGCCATAAGAAAAAGACCAATTTAGCTCATCAAAAAGGCCCCATTTGAAATTAAAACGAATTTTTGAAATTTAAGGCAGTTTTGCGTTGCATGCATTTACTCTCAAGATTTTCAAACAGCAAAAAATACACAAATTTCACCAACTGTACGAGCTGAATTAGGGACGCCTATCGGAGACCACCACAGACGTGCTTCGAATGGACTATCATGATCCCTTCCCTGACGAACGTAGCCTACAATACTTCTTGACTGTAATATTATCAGCTGCACGTCCCGTGTGTCGAATCCGCCTACGGTCGAACGGCCACGCGTCGTACGACGATAAATTTTGGAACAAAACTATGCTATCTAAAATCTAACCCCCAGATGCTGTGAGTTAGGGACGACTGAAATAGCCCAGCATTGCCCAGTACCAGCATAATTTTCATGCTTCACTCCGTGCGCAAGCATGCTGCAGAGCAAATTAGCCAACATGATTACTGTGACGTCGTTCGTCACTCGTCAGATTCAACGCACTAAGTTTTCCTATCCTCATCTATTCTTTCTTAAAATCTTCACTCATCCCGGCGTTCACTCCACAAGTGCGTGGAAAATATCGCAAAGATCAACGAAATTACCACCACATGAACGCAGCCACCCGTCAAACGGTTCCCGCGTTCCTAGCAGCGTCACTGCCTCAACAGTGGGCGTCTAGAGCTCGAGCGAGTAGTGTGTTGCTCCATGAGCCATCCCAGTGTTACCCTTAAAATATGTTGCTATGGCTCATTAGGCTTATATATCTATATATTTCTCTATCGTTCGCTAATGTGTATGATTCTATAATTTGAAATGCCATGTTCATGTCATTGTGTGTATATTATTGTGACGTCGTTTGTCACTCGTCAGATTAAACGCACTAAGTTTTCTTATCCTCATCTATTCTTTCTTCAAATCTTCACTCATCCCTGCGTTCACTCCACAAGTGCGTAGAAAATATCGCAAAGATCAACGAAATTATAACCATGTGAACGCAGCGAGCCCTCAAGAGGTTCCCGCGTAAATGCCGCGTTCCTCACAGCGTCAGTGTGTGTCCACAGCTCGAGCGAGTAATGTGTTGCTCCATGAGCCCTCCCGGTGCTACCTTATTTTATGATGTTATAGCTTATTAAGCCTATTGTATCCATGTATTCATCTATTGCCTTCACTGTGTATGATTCCAGAACTGTGATTCTTAATTCATGTTATTGAGTGCATATTAAAGTTCTCACTGCGAGTAATGCCGCGCCGATATATTGGCGGCCATGATCACGAACACCTGCTCATAGGCTCTTGACTATATCACAGTTGATATCTATTTTTATTATGAATTCATTTAGGAGTAACTATTTTGAAAGGATTAGTTGTCGCATAACTGGATGTACTGATTTGATATTTTCTAGGCCATTTGCCTCACCATTGCCGTTATAATCATTCGAATGTGTAGCAAAGACGCCGTTCTGTTTTCTCCGACACAATCTCATAGAAAAAATTTTTAAGGGATACTACTTCGTTCTCCGCTTACAGCCTCATTGAGCCTTACGGCTTACTAGCGAGTGCCGACATGCGTTTCTTTCAGTCTCCTTTAATTTGAAGCATTTTAGGTAATTTTAAGATATTGTCCTCTAAAGTTTATCTCTAATCTCATCATTTCAGGTACCGTAATCGTAGGCCAAGCCCAACCGCAGTCGTTGGCACTAATCGTAAACAAAGCCCAACCCCGCGTTGGCGCTATTATTGGAATTGAATCCCAACCTAGCTATAACTGTAATTGAAGCCCAACTCACAGTTGGCAAATTTAAGCATAAGAAATTAAACGTCAACATTAGGTATACCTGGCCTAACTCATTGAAGCTCAGAAATGTTAAACGTAATTATCGTCAACTTTGTCGTCTCTTCCTCTCGCCTGCCAAAACCACCTCGTGTGAGTAACAAATGAAATATCGCGGCCATGCCGACATAAACAATTCCTGTTATGTCAGTTGTAATTTTGTTATCGAGAAGTCAAATAAGAACGTTCATCTATCCTATAACGTTCAGTACTAAACAATATCTAAAGTCTAAACAATGTGAGTCTACCCCCTTAACTCAGCGTTGGCAAATTTAAGCATAAGAAATTAAATGTCAAGATTAGGTATATCTGGCCTAACCCATTGAAGCTTGGAAATCTTAAACGTAATTATCGTCAACTTTGTCGTCTCTTCTTCTCGCCTGCCAAAACCACCTCGTGTGAGTAACAAATGAAATATCGCGGTCATGCCGTGCATAAACAATTCCTGTCATGTCAGTTGTAATTTTGTAATCGAGAAGTCAAATAAGAACGTTCATCTATTCTATAACGTTCAGTACTAAACAATATCTAAAGTCTAAACAATGTGAGTCTACCTCCTGCTTAGTTTAAGTTTCATGTATGTCTATCTCGACCTATTAACTAATATTAAATCTTATTTTCAGCTTACCTCACTCAGCTTACTTCACTCAAGTATATGAAATAAACGGGAGAAAACCAACCTCGATTTTCCCAGCCCGTTGAGCCCGCACACGTTTGTGTCAATTACTTGCTGAAAGCCACAGGGACTAAATCCCTTCATGGATGTAAACCAGCGAGCCAATGAGCTGCAAGCCGCCAAAACAATGGTCATAACCCACACGCTAAACCCCAAAATATTTCTATTCCATGCAGCCAAGCCCTTTCCCTACTTTTGATAAAGAACGCCCTGCGCCACAGTGCTATCAGTACACTGCTACCTCTCCAGCCTGTCCGTTCTTCTGGAGGCTAAACCTCCACGCTTACCCCCTGCTCCCCCTCCTTTCGGTACCAGCTTGCGGAAGAATTCTTACCTAACCTAACCCTTTCGCGGAAAGGCGGAGAGAAGGGGATAAGTGTGAAGGAAGAAGATGCTGGTGAGCGTCAAGGCTGGGCTTACGCCTGCGAAGTGGGTAAGGTGATGCGACAGACCGGTGCGGGGCCGTTCCCATTTACGGCAGTCTGGTGCGGTCTGCGGACCCTGTGGCCTACGGAATTTGTAAAAGTGATGGTATGGGCTTAAATAATTGGTGTAGGAGCTATTGGGCGTAATCCGTTTGGAGTATCAGCTTGTGGGCTGAGGCATTGCTTGTTTCAAGCTGGTGTGGTGAGATGAGGCAAGTAAGAACAGTTGCATAGGTGTTAGGCTGACT